CCCACTGTTGGGCAAAGGCCTCCTCTGTACAGGGGTATTAGGGCATAGTCCACCACGCGGCCCCACTGCGGATTGTGGGACTTCACATATTTTTGAAATATTTGTTTTGTTATTATTTCGAAAACATGCAGGTTTCCCCACGATGTTTTCCTTCACCACTGAGCACGTGATAATACATCACTTAAAATTAACAATTTCATTGGTGCCGGCACCGGGGATCGAACTCAGGTTGCTCGAGTATATTGAATTAAAGGCGAGCGCCCGGACACTGAGCTATCACGGCTCTTGGTGACAATTGAATGATTTTTTTTATTTATACTCCCAAGGATTGTCTTTAAAAATGAGATAATTTTAATACCCTCATCATTAGTATATCACCCCGAAAACGGTAATACATTGATAGCCCCTGACACGCAAATTATTCAAGCCGGGGATCGACTTTTAAAATTCTCAGTCAAAGACTTGCTTTGGAGTTTTAATGCAATATATTACAAACTGCAATAATTATCTGACAATAAAGACGACACAACACAGGTTGTTCGAGTATATGATATTAAAAGCAAGTGCCCGTACAATGAGCTATCACGGCCATTTGAGCTATCACGGGGCTATAGTAATGAAATAATTTTGAGAACTTTTACACTTCTTATAGTAAAAGTTAAAATTATTGAACAAACTTCAAAAAAGGAAACAATTCTCAATTCGGTTTTAGGCTTTTTTATGTTTGTTATACAAACTCTTTTTAGGGTTCCGTACCGAAAGGGTAATACGGGACCCTATTACTATGACTTTGCTGTCTGTCTGTCTGTCTGTCCGTCTGTCCGTCTGTCACCGGACTTTATCTCATGAATCGTGATAGTTAGGCAGTAGACATTTTCACAGATGTTGTATTTCTGTTGCCGCTATAACAACAAATACTAAAAAACAGAATAAAAAAATATTTAAGCAGCAGTGCATTGTTTGTTATTTGCTTGAAAAAAGCAAAAATACAAGCTATTTACTCAAATCCACAATCGTTCAAACGTCCCTGTCAAGAAAGGATTTAATTCGTTTAGACAAGCATAGAATGTTTAAATTTATGTAGTTGTGTATTTTAACCACATTTATCAGCACTACGTAAAATTTTATGCGTACACATTATGATATTTATAAACGAAACGAACGAAATTGTGACGGGGTCGGAATGGAATGTATGTCGTAATGAAACCGGGCTGTGGTCAACAGGATGCGTATTAATTTGGTCTAAACCCAAAGAAGGCCCTCTCCATATGAAAATATGTTTGAATGTTGGCGTTCCATTTCTGTTTTAAGTTTGGTTTGTTCGGGGCCACGCAAGTCTTGAAAGTGATGGGGTGGTCGAAGAAGATTAAAGGCCATAGATAAGTTAATAAAGTAAAGCAAAAAATCAAGAACGAAAAATCACTGGCACCATTGAAGAATCGGTCAAAACCCTTTTTTAACCGACTTCAAAAAGGAGGTGGTTTCTCAATTGGGCCGTATATATATATATTTTGTGTGTTCGCGGATAATGTTTCTTAATAAGCAATTTTAGCCAAAGTCCTAAATATCGATGAATATATTTATCACCTAAGTTAAAACTGCTCTAGAGTTTCAATTTTCCACCAAAAATCTTAAAATATATGAAATATTTGTCGAGGATTAATTAACTAACGCAGTTATTTAATATTATTCATTTCAATAATTTAAAAAAAATATTTGCGAATGTTATATTTGCTCTGTTTCGAACACACAAAGATACGTCTGATATGTGTGACGTAAATTAGAATACGGTTATCTTTACGCACGTTATGGGTTAATTATACGACGCCAACAACACAGATAAGTTTTCTAAAAGTTTTCCTAATATTATTTAAGTGGAAAGTGGATAAAATTTTACAAATGCTTTATACATTTACTTTCATAAGTCAGATCAACGTGAATACTTAGAGTTACCTTATATGGTTGCCTTTAATTTTTCCTGAACCTGCCATTTACAAAATAGTACATAGACAAACGTCCAGATCGGAAACAATTATCTGTGGGTCACACAAGACTTGTCCCATGTGGGAATCGATCCCCGGTGCTGAAGCCAACACCTTGACAACTGCGCCACGGAGTCATGTTATAATCATCAGCAATTATAATAAAGCAGTAAATAAATTACTTATGAAGAAAGGTATTTCCTCACTTTCGAATCCCACTGCCCATGAACGTTTTTTTATGTGATAAGGTGGCAGGCGAGCTGGCAGTGTACTCAATGTGAAGTGATAACCGCCGCCTATGGACATTTGTAACACCGGTAGGGTAGTCATCTTATGATAAAGTGGGCCCCGACAACGACACGCACCAGACAAAACGCAGAAGTATGGCACCTCCACTTCACGCCGGTCTTCTGTGAAATCTTGGTACTTTTTCTTTTTTTTTTTTATGCGAAAAGTTGTCAGACGAGCAGACGGTTCACCTGATGTTAAGTGAATACCGCCGCCCATGGACATCTGCCACACCCGAGGGTTACAGATGCGTTGACAACCTTTTGAAAATTGGGCTCCGGCTACCTCACTCACCAGACGAAACGCGAAAGTATTTGTCATACTTCCACTTTACGCCGGTCTTCTGTGAGGTCGTGGTACTTACCCGGATGGACCTGCCCATTCGTGCATCAGCTGAAGCCGCATGGCCTTACCACACTAGATAGCTTTATAACTTCTGTAAAAACAGCAAAAACAAGTACCATGAGTAGTCTTTATCGATTTTCGTGAAGTATGTGTAACCTGTATTAAGATGTAAACAATTTGAGCTTATACTTATGTGTACTTATAAGCGTCTAACATTTGCCGTTGCACAAGGTTCTTTACTTGGCCCCTTGGTGTTTCTACTGTATATAAACAACATACACTAAACAGGTTTAAAGGGCAACCTTCTTTATGTTTATACATAATATGTATACTTTATATACTCCATCTATTACTGTATTAAAATCCGTTGTATAGTTTAAAATATCTCTTAGTGGTATCGGTATCGACTTTGTTAACCGTTGACTGTTCACGTCCCTAAAACGAAATACATAGTCTACCTCAGAAACAAAAAAAACTATCATACGATCTGAGTCTTAACATAAATGAATAATAATTCTGTACCCCAGAGTAACTCCACATTTTTCAAAATTATATTTCTTACACCATTGAAATCGCAAGAACAAATTCTATACAATAGCATAAAGCATTAAGTCCTACGACACCTTATCAATAAAATATCCAATCGTATATGACATCATAATCAGTAATGATTCAAGGATGTAAAATTTTTGTTTTTTCACATAACGCTGTTTACATCTGAGGTACAGAATTGAAGCAGAACTCGTGGAATACCCAAATCCCGCTAGTTTTTACAGTGGTAGAGTCGTGCAACACTCTTCTCAGTTGCGGCAACACTTCTCAGTTACCCGAATGGGGAGGCCCGTAGGAGGTTAGTACCACGACCTCACAGAAAACCAGCGGGATGTGGAAATGTCGTACCTCTGCGTTTCGTCGGTTGAATGAGGTAGCCGGGGCCCACTTTATTAAAAGGCAACGCATCTGTAACCCTTCGGCGGTTATCACTTAACATCACGTGAACCGTCAGCTCAGTTGCCATCCTCTCACATAAATAAGAGGTCCTTCCGTGTGGGTTAAGGGCCTCATGTTGCGTTATCTTAAACGAGAGGAATGTCACCACCAACGGATACGACCGTGACCCCGAAAGCCGTTAACTGTAATAGCGTTGTACTGGTTTTGCTAAGCTATACGAACACGAATCTATTACGTGTGTTAGCACTGTGCGAGTGTAGTGTTGTGTAGCGGGACCATGGGACGATGGGTCCAAAAATAAAATAAATATTTTAGGCTAACGCCCCAAAGTTAAATTTAAAACCAACTCTGATTCTAAAAAACAATCTAATAGAAAAATTATGATTATACGAAATTATTAATTAAGTTAACACATTCTATTAAATATTTTAAAAGAAACATAACTATTGCTCTATTTTCACATATATAACAAACACATAAATATAATCCCATAAATGTATCCGTTCACACATTACATAATATTCAAATTTTATACATTATATAACATACATAAAATTCACTACTAATAACTCAACAAACATATACGTATTATGGTAGAAGTTGGGTTTAGGTGAGCACCTAATAGACTTCCAAAATATGTTGGAATAATTGAATTCTTTTATTATTAAATTTAAAGTATTCTATTGCATTTACACTAATGAAACGATGAGATTAAAAACCGATTGACTTACATTTTTTAACTTGAGATAACATGAATACATCGAATTAGCTTCTTGGAATACAGTGATGATTAAAAGCTGTTAATATTATTTGTCTCTACCCGCACTGTATTTATATTAAACCTTTTTAAATTCTTGTGGAAATGAAGATCATCTCAATGAAAAAACAAACTTTATGACCTCGTAAATCTTCCGGTTTACCCGATAAAAGCCTTGATTAATAACATTAGCATAAATATATGCATCACTGGTGTAGAATTATATTTAGAAGGCTTAACAGTAATTCAAAAAGACCAGCTATCGCAGATTCAAACTTTTATTGTACATACGTTACAATTTTTAACAAGGTAGTGCAGACAGCAATCTTTACACCATGGTGCGATAACTTTATTTTGCCAATTGGTTACTTGTTGTAAATTAGTTATAATCACGGCCGGATTTAGGGGAGGGAAACCGGAGCTACGGCCCTGGACCCTCCACAAAGGAGGGGCCGACTCAATTATAGAGACCCGGGAAAGTAAACACTAGTAAAAACTTTTCCTTTCATATTTTTTTTTCGCGTTTTACCTCTACCTTCAGTACCTACTTTATACAAACCAGATTACATTAAATATTAACAGAAAGTAATGGAAAATAATTATGAGGCTAAGGGGCCTCCACTCCTTTGTTCCTGGCCCTGGTTAATAAGAATAAATAATAAGCGACATTTTCATCATGTACATCCAATTTGTGTCTTGTCTGACGTTTTTCTATCCGACGGAAGCATCAACGCGACGGCAACCCCACCTGTCACGATAACAATAAATTAGTAGGCAATCTAGTTTCTATCTCCTGTTTCCATATTTTTGATTTAATCAGATAAATAATAATTTCAACGTTATAAAGCCTAAATTATATGAATTACAATGTCACCAAAGTCATATGCAACAAGTTAGCCAGATCCGATGCTTTTCTCAACACACTATTGAAAGATAATAGAAATAAAAATATTTATTTGGTACATAAACGTAAAAAACACATAAAAGATAGTACCTGGAAGACCTGGAAGGTTTTTTTTTTTGTAAATCAAGTATTTTGGAAATTACATTTAGATACTAATTACTGAGTAATGAAATATGTATAATATTTTTCAATCTTACCGACCTAATAATAAGAAAATATGAAGTAGTGTATTTCACAAAAGAAACAACTTTAAAAAAAAGGGGGAAGAAATAATATCATCTGGATCAACAAAAAATAAAGAAATGTGTGATCTGGAATCGAAGATAAGATAAAAAAAAAGAGTGTGTAAATTATAGTGACACGAACCACGGCCGTCTGTTTTGTGCCGCCCGATTACCGACCGAGCTATTGACATTTTCTCTTGCGGCGAAATTTACCGTCATATTCGAATGATATTTTTCATTCCCTGTAAACAGGGATAAAAGGAAGAATCTACGCTCATACTAAATTTCATGAAAATCGCTGGAGCCGTTTCCGAGATTCCGATTATATATATATATATATATATATATATATATATATATATATATACAAGAATTGCTCGTTTAAAGGATAAGATACACAGTAATTTAGTTACAAAGAGAAAAGAAATATTTTATGCTTATTAGTGCACCAAAAAGGTTTAATAATAAAAAACTATCACTATTGCGTGCTGCCTTCATATTATCTCTGCATCGTGTGACAGGTCAAACCGCGCCTAAACTCTCTCTCAAGAATACGCCGTCTCGCGAATACCAGTTCTGTGGCATATGTGACGAGCCTCCTGCCACTTCAACTCGCTTCTTCCAAAATATATACCATAACGTATACATTATCCATACTAATATTATAAATGCGAAAGTATCTCTGTCTATTTGTCTCGCTTTCAAACCAAAACTACTGAACCGATTTCAATGAAACTTGGGACACAGATAGCCTAGAGCCTGATAAAGGACATAGGCTATTTTTAATAGGAAAAAGTGTTGTAAAGTATTGAAAAGGGGGATGAAAAGTTGTATGAAAGTATTGTCATTTTCAGAACAAGAAGCATAACTTATATTTTTGGCTGTTGAATAGATACAAAGAAATATAGATAAATCCATAATATGCATACTAATATTATAAATGCGAAAGTTTAATTTAGGTAAACACGAATATATTTTTTATGCTTCAAAAGCTTGATAAAACTCATTGAGCTCTTTTGTATGTTTTATCTACTACTACCTGTTAACCGCGGCTTCGTCCGCGCGGTCAATGGGAATTAACAATGACTTTTTTATTATACACCAGACTTTTTTTCATGTGAAAAGTTGCCAAACGAGCAGACTATTCACCTGATATTAAGTGAATACCGCCGCCCATGGACATCTGCTACACCCGAGGGTTGCAGATGCGTTGGCAACCTTTTGAAAATTGGGCTCCGGCTACCTCACTCACCAGACGAAACGCGAAAGTATTTGTCATACTTACACTTTACGCCGGTCTTCTGTGAGGTCGTGGTACTGTGCCGGACGGGCCTGCCCATTCGTGCGTCAGCCGAGGCTGTTGCGTGGCCCTACCACCGTCAAAATCTTGCACACTATCTCGCAGATGGCTCTTTCCTACTTAGTTGACACTTTCATTGCCTATACTTCAAACAAAATCTTTATAAATTATAGCCTATGTTATTCGTTATTCTGATGTATAAGCCAAATTATTGTAAAGTTTCATTAGAATCTATTCAGTACTTTTTCGTGAAAGAGTAACAAACATCCATCCATACATACAAACTTTCGTGTTTATAATATTAGTAAGAATAGCATATACGAGTACCATTGATTTTCCAAGAAACGATAACCGAGAAAAATCAACGTGCACATTATCTAAAGTTTGCCATATTTATTGGAAAAATAATACATAAAATGATATCCGTTCATCTAGTTATTTAACATATCAAAATTATACTTAAGCTCAAGGACGTTTAAATGTCAGGTCCATACTGATCTTTTCATAACTGGTTATTTTTTTTTATTTAATAACGAAACAAGAGGAAATCTGTGGTATTCTAATAGGCATAATCTGTACCCGAAGCGTCAATACGACGTCACTGCACCACGCATAATTATGCTAAACTGCTATTAAAGTGCGCAAAAAAACTTCGATGTGTCTATATTTTTTATTGTACACGCCAATCTAAGTTAATGAGGCCCTATGTATTAAGAACAATATCCGAAAAGCCATTGGCTACGCTCTCCTAATGCTATAAGGACTTTTTCCTATTTATTATCAGAATTAAAGACGCATCTTCGTATTCGTGCGATGAACAAGTTTAGCAAAATTTGCAATGCTTGAGTGTGTGCGTATGCACAAAGCATACAATTTAAACAAACGTGTGTAAATTATTTCTACTTTATTAACGAGAATTATCATTTTTTTTTGTTCTGTTATCTCCCTTTAGTTTTGTTCATACCAACGAGTATTCACGGTGTGACTATACACCTATCGCAATTCTGGCATATCTGGCTGCCAAGGTACAAGTATTGGTTAATTTGGTATCCATTGTTACTATTCTGTCTTTTGATATGACATGCAATATTTGTAATCTAATCTTTATTAACTACTAGCTGCTGCCTGCTGTCTGCGTAGAGGGGTAAAAATCTAGGGTTGTGTGTATTTTTGTATGCTGTATCATAAAAAAAATTATATAAAAATGAAAAAAAAATTGGGGTGGAACACTCTTAACATTAAGGGGGATGAAAAATAGATGTTGTCCGATTCTCCACCCTGGCCGATATGCACACAAAATTTCCCGAAAATCGGTCGAGCCATTTCGGAGGAGTTTAATTACAAACACCGTGACACGAGAATTTTATATATTACATTTACCAACGCACGTTTTGAGATATAATTATGTCTCAATTTTCTTAAATAAAACGAAATAAATAAATGACAACTAGTTGACTTTTTCGAAACTTTGACATTCCAACAAATAGCACTTTTGAGAGTTAATCTTTAGGGATCTAATCGGTGTTATAGCTTGTTCAATAAGCCATCACGGCTGCAATTACATATACCACGTCAAATTGACAGGACAACTATAAACTGCTGACACATCTGCAACTGGTCGCATACCAAGCGAGTAGTAGGACAATCATTTTCCGTAACTTATAAGCACATGCTGCCTAATTAAATATCCAAGCCAGGGGGACACGGGACACGCAACAGTCTGAACTGTTGCAGGTCCGTCGAGGTAAGTACCACGACCGCAAAAAAAGACCAGCGTGAAGGGGATGCGTTACACTTCTGCGTTTCGTCTGGTGAGTGAGGTAACCTAGGCCCACTTTATTAAATGGTGGAAACGCATCTGCCACCCTGCGGGTGTTGCAAATGTCCAGCGGCTGTTACCACTTAACATCGGGTGAACCGCCAGATCGCTTGACACCATCTCACATAAAGAAATGTTTTCGGCAACTACGCTATCGTCGTTTTCACTGCCACCATTAATGTATAGCAATAAAATAGTTACTCAGAACAAAAACCGCCCAGCAGTAGAACGTGAGGTTGCAATGATCCAAGATGACGACACCGATGACGTTCACCCCCGCGAAAGAAGTCAGCCGAGCAGCCATCATTCCCAAGCTCGTCACCAGGCCTCTGCAAATGACGACTTTTTAGGGTTCCGTATCCAAAGGGTAAAATGCCGTTACTAAAACTCCGCTGTCTGTTCGTCACTAGGCTGTATCTCATGAACCGTGATAGGTTAGACAGTTGAAATTTTCACAGATGATGTATTTCTATCGCCGCTATGACAACAAACTAAAAAACTGAATAAAAAAATATTGAAGTGGAGCACGGAACTCTTCCTGTCCGACTCGCACTTGGCGGATTTTTTTTCACTCACATTAATAATTAAAAACCGGCCAAGTGCGAGTCGTCCTAGCGCACGAAGGGTTCTATATCATTATCTATAAAAACGGCAAAAAAAATCTTGTCGGTTATATGGGAGCCCCACTTCAATATTTTTTCATTATGTTTTTTACTATTTGTTGTTATAACGGCAACAGAAATACATAATCAGTGAAAATTTCAACTGCCTAACTATCACGTTTCATGCAATAAAGCCTGGCTGACAGACATACAGCGGAGTCTCAGTAATAGGCTCCCTTTTTACCTTTGAGTACGGAACCATAAAAGAGTCTATGATTAAAACACATCCAAATTCGACTAGGCAGTATAAATACATCTGGCCCTGAGCGGTACGTTCTCCATTTGTTAATTCATTCTTTTTCATTCAATTAGTTACCCTGATAAGACGTGACCAGTTCCGCTGACCTGTACGCGGTTGGATACAGATCGACGAAGTAAGAAGCGACGCTCCCAATGCCGATTGCGCTCGTCTGTATCAGCGCGAAGAATATCATGCTGGCCATCGGCCGAGCCAAGAGCCCCACCATGACACAGCTCACCGCCGACACCAGGTAGCAGACCATCAGCACCAGCCGCCTCCGGGAGGCCAGCCAAGATGTGACGAGGTTGATGGTGGTGAAAACCAGCCCTAGGATCACCCCCGAATAAATTGTGTTCGCAGAAATGGTATCGTCGCAGACATCCTGAAAGATGTGGGCTGAATTATCTATTGTAGTTGGCAACAATACGTTAAACACGGATTTTTCATCAATTGGATTTAATGGCCCTTCTATATGTACATTTAACATATTGTTTTCATCTTTTTATTCTTTATGGTCAAAGAGAAATTGAAAAACTAATTAAATATAATTGCGGTCAAATTTTTTACAGGTCTGTTCAAGCTGATGCTAAAATAAGTGGATTAAAACAACTTATTAACGGTGGTAGGGTCACGCAGCAGCCTGGGCTGTTGCACGAATGGGCAGGCCCGTCCGGGTAAGTACCACGACCTCACAGAAGACCAGCGTAAAGTGGAAGTATGACAAATACTTTCGCGTTTCGTCTGGTGAGTGAGGTAGCCGGAGCCCAATTTTCAAAAGGTTATCAACGCATCTGTAACCCTCGGGTGTGGCAGATGTCCATGGGCGGCGATATTCACTTGACATCAGGTGAACCGTCTGCTCGTTTGACAACGTTTCGCATAAAAAAAAAAGCTTTAAGTAAAACATTATATTACTGTGTTATTTACATCATATTCAACTTTTTTTATTTAAAAAAATTAGTCCGACGAATAATGAAATTAGCCAACCCTATACAAATATTCGTAACGTCGAGAGTTATTAAATATTTTCTTGCGAAACGAAAATATTTCATATCGTTTATTTTTTTAATTTATTTTAGTCTCTTGGCCATGTATCCTGCGATGTAATTCGAAACTCGGGAAGTTCTCTGACCGTCACGATTTAGCTATATCTTAAAAAATACTTTTAAAGGCACAATAAAGGCGCGATTTTATTAAAAATTTAACCGACTGATTTCAGGGAGATTATCAAAATGTGCATTCAACAGTAAGTTGTATTAGTAGAATAACTCGGGTAATATAAAATGTACGTATTTTATTTGTCACAGTTATCAAGCTTCCGTACCGTGAGACGCAGCCAAAATATTCATAACATCTGTACATAATTGTTCCGGATCTGGCTTGTATTTTTTCTATTTGTATTTGTAAAACGCTCACTTCACAGAATTATCTGATTCAAAATCATCAAAAGATGATGATTCGCATGTTGTGAAACAACTTATAAAAGTTGTGCCTCGGTTTGGACTTAGGATAATCTTGTATTTATTTGCATATTTAATTCACAATGAAAAATAATAACAAAACTGTTGAGAGTAATGTTGTCCGTTAGAAATATGAATGAAATTCAATCTCAAATGTTTCCTTAACGAATTAAAGCATCGCTGTGTTCGTACAATAGAACTGCTTATTAAAAAATGTTAGGCGCAGACAAGTTGTTTTGGCCTCTTGCTCTGCTTGCCTCTTTGCAAATTTGTGTATATCACTTTTTTTAAAAGAGACAATAAGAATGCATTTCTTGTCGGATCTCTCTGGATAGGCCTAAATTAGTGAACCGGTGATAGTTTTGTGACGTTCACTTAAAACCAACGTATATTCTGTAAAGAAATTTTGACTAACTTCGGTTAGATTTTTTGCCTGACGTCAACCCAGTCCTTGTAAATTAACAGCCAGATAGAGAGTGAGAGATCCATTGCGGAACAAGTATATGCGAGTCGCACAAATGCCTGCCCCGTGAGAGAACCGAACCCACGAGCCCAGGGGCCGAAGCCAATAGCTAGCAACTGCAGTAGTGGTGGCACTATTTTATTAAGGCAAGAAAAACAGAAGGCAAACGCAACTTATAAAAAGTATCACGAGGGTGAAGCAGGAAATGAAGCTACAGAAGTACTAACGTGTTCGGGCTCATTGAATCCATTCACTGTGATATTCTGTATAACAGCCTCACAGAATCCGATGTTCGTCGCGTCACCAGAAATCGAGTTGAAAAATAAATTCACCATAGTTGGAAACCACATTAGAAACACGTTGTTCCTGAAAAGTAATATCCCAATGTGATCAAAGAAAAAACTCAATATTCGTCAATTAAGATGTTTACTGTGGTAGGGCCACGCAACAGTGCCGTTGCAAGAATGGGAGGAGGCACCCACCCACCTGAGACGACTTATAGAAGACCGGAGTGAATAAGAAGTATTACACTTCTGCGTTTGGCCTGGTGAGTGAGGTAGCCTGGGCCCACTTTATTGAAAATAGTAAACTAATTAAAAGTTTATACACGTCCATGGGCAACGGTTTTTACTTAACATCAGGAGCACCGCCATCCTCATTCGCACCTTCTCACATAAAAAAATTATACGAAAAAACGCGCGGGGCATTTTTGCAAGCCCGACATACCTATATCACCACGCCACATATTTAACTACATCGCGCCAGATATAACCGACGCATACTGTATATGCTCAGTGTATATAACGTCCTTAAGGTACAAAGATTCTATCATAAATACTAGCTGTGCCCGCGACTTCGTCCGCGTGGAATTTTAAATAAAAAAAATCTAAAACAAAAGTAGCCCAAGTTACTCCTTATTAGATCAGTTATCTGCCAGTGAAAGTCCCGTCAAAATCGGTCCTGCCGTTTCGGAGATTAGCCGGAACAAGCAGGCAGACTAAAATTGTAAAAAATGTTATTTTGGTATATGTACCGTGTATACATTCATATGCATGTAGTAAAAAGCGGTTATTTTAATATTACAAACAGACACTCCAATTTTATTTATCTGTATAGATAAGGATTCTATTATATAGCCACTATTGCCGTTTGAGTAGTTCCCTCCATAATCCAAGATCCTTAATGAAATGAATATAGAACCACATGAGAGGTAAACCTCATCCAATACTGTAATAAGTAATTTACAGAATTTTTAGGTAAGTAACTAAAAAAAACAACCGATTTCATAACCTCTTTTTGAAGTCGATTGTTAAATGTATGTTATGAGAGTAAATAATATAAAAATAATTATCGAAGTAAATGAAAATAATCTGTCTGTCTGCACGTCACGCCGTTTTTGGTTGTAACGTAGTAACCTGCTTTAGTTTTTTTTTAAATATAAAAGTTAATTAATAGCATGTTCCACTGCTGGGCAAATGCCTCCTCTATACAGAGGATATCAATCCTCAACATTACTTGGATTAAACAAATATTGTATTACCATTTAATGCCATAAATTTAAAACAGAGAAATTGTAACAGCAAATGATATGAATATAATATTATTTTTTGACAATAGGAGAACATTTGTTTATAATCGGATATAACTGTGTGTACAGTACACCGATGCAGTAAATATTCGAATTTACTAGATTCCCTATGCTTTAAGGTAGAAAAAGAATAATATATAATAACGTAAATTAAGAAAAGTATTTCAAATCAAATTCTTGATCAGGTATATGTTTTGCAGGTGAAGCGGTTACTTTACGTATACTTTATCAAAGGCGCCTGTAGAAATTAAATAGCACAAAAATATAAGTCTCTTAGTGTGAACTATGTATTTGTCCCAATTACTACAGAAGCTTCGAGTTAGAGAATCGTATCCTAGACTCGGTTTGATTCTAAATTAATAATTATAACGAGGAAATTAAGGCAGTTTTCTTGGTACCGTGTATGAGCTAAGTTACAGAACTTAGTCTTCGGACTGAAAGCAGACATCAGTTAAAGTGAAAGTTAAACTCCTGGTTCCACTGAAAACCAACAATTGCAAACTTTTTTTGCGATTTAATGCTGAGTGGCGAAAAACCCTTTTGCTGCATTGATTGCTAAATTTTAATTCTTTTTTTATTTCTTTTTTTATTTTTGTTTTGTTTGTTATTCACCAAATCAATTTTTTTTTCTTTCTTTCTAAAAATGTCTTGACAGCTGGAACTAAGACCTACCAATTGTACTTACGTGGTACAACAGAGGATTATAAGATAAAATAACTGCAATGTTCTCCATAGCATCGGTGGTCGAAACAACGGGAAAGTTTGCTTCACTATTGAAGACCAAATTGAATCTTCTTTGTTATTCTCGACTACGCTTCGTCTGAGATGTTTCACCTGCAAAATTAATAATAACTAAAATTAATATCATCTTTATTTCCTAATAGGAGATATTGCTATATTTTTCCCACAGGATAACGCGATTAAAATCCGCGCCATTTATTCGTGATTATAAATTGTTTTTTAGTTTAATAACGCCAGTTACTTTTTCAATATTAACAGGATAAATTTCCAAAGGCAGAATCTATAATTCTACCTATTCTTCATATTTTTTTCACGTATTGAAAACAGATGTTGCTGCAAAAGAATAAATTTATAACAAAAAAATCATTACTGGAAATTCTTCTTCCTTTCCACCGTTCATCCTGTATATCTTCTGTAATATTTCTAGTGCCAATATATTTTCATCCTTATTAGCGAGGAATTTTGGGCTCTCGTACAGACAGAACACCAGAAAAGCGCCGATGCCCAGGGGAAAGGCTATGATGAACGTGAACATTCTCCAAGAGCGGTAGTTTATTGCAATCCAGGGTATTTGCCAGTGGAAGGGAAGGGGCAAAATGAAGTACGCAAGACCTGCAAACAGAAATCCAATTTGTTACCTCATACACATGCCGAAAAGCAAAAGTATTTTATTGTCCATTACAATTAAAGAACATTGATGAAAAAAATATATCCCTTAGAAACGTAAAAAAAAGATTAATATTTAAAAAAATTAATTCCACCAGAAGAGATACTTTACGCGATAATAAAATATGAAATTAAAATGTCCAAATTTGACGGTGTTACAGAGAGTTATAAATAAACGAAAATTCTTATAGGTGGATCTTTAAATCCCAAATCTGTACTTAAACTCCATTAATGAACAAAAACTTTCGGCGCATTTTTTTATGACCTCACGGCACGAAAATCTCGACATCTATCCACGTTCTTTTTTTTATGTAAAAAGTTGCCAAGCGAGCAGACGGTTCACCTGATGTTAAGTGAATACTGCCGCCCATGGACATCTGCTACAGCCGAAGATTGCAGATGCGTTGACAACCCTTTAGAAATTGGGCTCCGGCCACCTCACTCACCAGACGAAACGCGAAAGTATTATGCTTCCACTTTACGCCGGTCTTCTGTGAGGTCGTGGTACTTACCCGGACGAGCCTGCCCATTCGTGCAACAGCCGGGGCTGCTGCGTGGCCGTGCCACCGTAAAGATTTCCGTTCTTTCTATTGCCTTTTTTTTACAAAGAACACTCAACGATATACATTTGTACGGTGTAACAATGTATACATGCCGCTAATGTGAGTTGGTCTTCCATGTGGTTTATGAATGGCATCCCGCATCAGCAGAAGCCGCTGTGAGAAGAAGTCTGATAGAAAAACAAAACCCACCAAAGGACACTATCTCGGAGGCCAGGTTCATGCTGTTCATGATGAAGAGGTAACGGCTGCGGTGCTCGTTGTCGACGCATTCCCCAAGATACGTCATGGTCAGCGTGAATGATGAGGTAGAACTGACGACAGATAAAAATAAGATGACACAAATACTTTGTATGTACTGAGCCATACATATTTATAAGCACTCTCACCGTATTTCACGTAAAAACCACTTTCTGTCTTTAAGAGAAACATTAAATTTTGTTTTAAAAACTGAAAATTGTTTCCTTCGCTAGATTCATATCAAACTAGGAGCTGCTGGGAATGGTCCTGAAATTCCTTTCGAAATTATTTGACGTTTAAGATTTATTTTCTCAAAAGATTTACAAAACAAATCACTTACAGAGAAAATACAAAAACTGTAGTAAGTGCATACAAGAAAAACTTTCCGACCTATCGAAGCTAGTGGACTAATAAAAATAAATATGTACCTAGTAACAAATAAATAGATGAGAATTTGTACAAAATGTGTGGTTCTAATTAAGCGGTAATTATTTATATTCCAAATACAACAGGTATTTACTAAGGTTTATTACGTCGTGGCGGGTTGATTAAATTCCCTAACAATAATGATTCAAGATCATTCAATTCCTTAGCTATTATATTTCGATAGTTTATCAATGCATTTAAAGTTTAATCTTAAATTCTGAGAGCAGCGCTAAAAATGAAATTAGGTGCAGTAATTTCAGAAACATATGACAGCTGTTTTAGGTTAAATGCGATTATTTCTAACAAGGATTTGCAAAAGCTTGTGGTGAATTAGCTTTCACACCCAATCGATAGAGCTGATCAGAGACCCATGAGATTAATTTCTCTGAAGAACCATAACGATATTCGTTGTTCCTTTAATAATGCCCATTTATGAATATTGCTTTTTCAAAAAGCGACAGCTATGCCAATTTAGATCTTTGAACCAAGATTAGATAGATGATTAATATTTTCTATATAAAAAGATTCGTAATATTTAAAAGAATTTGATTTAATTTAAGTTTATCGGAATAAGGCGATAAAGTTAGCGAGACATTAATGAAAGTCAGATTAAAAACTAATATGTTATGTTATTGTTAATCATATGTAATTGTATGAATGAACATATTTTTTATAAGATAACATAAGATGGCTCCCTGTACACTCTAATAGGGCGTCTGTTGCCACACTCCACTGTGGTATGGCCACGCAACAGCTTGTGTTGCACTAATAGGCAGGTCCATCTGGGGAAGTACCATAACCTCACAGAAGACCGGCGTGATCTGGTGATCATCTGGTGAGCGCGGTAGGCGGGGCCCACTTTATTAAAAGGTGGCAACGCATCTGCTATCCTCAGGTGTTGCAAATGTCCGTGGGCGGTGGTTATCACTTACCAACCGCCCGCTGGCTTGCCACATAAAAAACTTTTGCAAAATTTACCCATAGGCCATAAATAGTACGAGTAGCAAAGCAAGTAATGGACTTACAAGCTGCTCCCAATTATTTTCAGTACCAGCATGACCTGCCAAGATGGCGCCAAACTACTGGCAGCGGCGAATGTGAAGCCCACCGACGTGGATAACAGCAGGGCTCGTCTCCTGCCCCGGGTGTCTGCGTAGTAACCCCAGGGGAACGCGAACAGGACGCCTGGAGTTCAAGATATTTTTTTTTTATTTATAATAACACTAGCAGACAGACTTAACATCATCGTCATCATCATTTAGCCTGTTTGAGTCCACTGCTGAATATAGGCCTCCCCACAGACTGCCACGAAGCAAAGGTTCTTCGAAGCATCCATCGACTTCCCGCACACTTGCATAGGTCGTCACTTGATCTAGTGGGGGGGTTGTCCCACACTGCGACTAAGTAGATTTCTTTATTATGTATTCCACAACTGTCTAGTTCGTGTGCGACCGAAATAAAAATATTATATAATATTTATTGAATATGCTAAAATGTATGTGTAATGCTTAAAAATGTGGTGCTGGAGGCGTATGGAAAGAATAAGTTGAGCGGAGATGGTTACAAATTAAGAGGTTTTGCAAAGAATAAACGAGAAGAGAAGTCTGATGAACATAATATAAAACTAATAAGACATTCATTAATAACATAGAAAAATAGAAAAAGCGGGGTAGATGGAGACCACTATACACACATTCAAGAAGAAAATCAATGTTGATTCCTATATAGAGGCAAAGGATAGGGCTATGAACAGAAAAGGACAGAGGGTGTTACACAGCGGAACTACTGTGATGCTGCATCGACAAGATCCTAGCTGTAAGCAAATTAAAGAAGATGGAAAATGCGTAGATAAAACTGTCGCAAAATATTTCGCCGCTGCTAGGATTCGAACCTGTGCCCGAATTACGCATCCAGACGATCTAGCCACTAAGCTACGATCGACATCCTCACGCAAAAATCTCGACGTGCATTATTTTTATGTGAAAAGTTGCCAAGCGAGCAGACGGTTCACCTGATGTTAAGTGAATACCGCCGCCCATGGACATCTGCTACACCCGAGGGTTGCAGATGCGTTGACAACCTTTTAAAAATTGGGCTTTTAGCATTAGCATTTTAGCATTGATTGCGATAACTTATGCATTTACAGCACGCACTCTTTTTTAAACAAAATTTTAACACCATATTTTGGTACCTGGTAGGGTACACATGTGGTGTTAAATGATTACCGTCGCTCATAGACCTAAACAACATCTGGGGTCGTATATTCTGTTGTGAACAGAATTTCCGTAAACCTGAAGCACGAACTTATTCTCAAAAGCCTCGGCTCACAATTGATGGACATACGCTACAAGGACTACATTTTTTTTTATGTGAAAAGTTGCCAAACGAGCAGAAGGTTCACCAAGTGGTAAGTGAATACCGCCGCCCATGGACATCTGCCACACCCGAGGGTTACAGATGGGTTGACAACCTTTTGAAAATTGGGCTCCGGCTACCTCACTCACCAGACGAAATGCGAAAGTATTTGTCATAATTCCACTTTACGCCGGTCTTCTGTGAGGTCGTGGTACTTACCCGGACGGGCCTGCCCATTCATGCAACAGCCAAGGCTGCTGCGTGGCCCTACCACATTTTTAGGGTTCGGTACTCAAAGGGTAAAACGAGAGCCCTATTATTAAGACTCCGCTGTCTGTCTGTCCGTCTGTCACCAGGCTGTATCTCACGAACCGTGATATTTAAACAGTTGAAATTTTTACAGATTTCTGTTGCCGCTTTAACAAGATATACTAAAAAACCGAATAAAATAAGATTTAAGTTGGGCTCCCATACAAAACACATGATTTTATTGACGTTTTTATACATAATAGTACGGAACATTTCGTGTGCGAGTTCGACTCGCACTTGGCCGGTTTTTCATACCTGCATGCGTGTATTTTATTCAACACAAAGATTATTATTAAACAGTAGTATTATCCAGTGTGAAACGTGGGCAAAAAGACAATTCTCAACAGCACTTGACTTGAAAAATGGCTGCCTGCAAGTGTAGATAAAAATGCCAAAACGAAAACATATGTGTGCAGCTATTATATCAATGATTTAATATTGCAGCATCTGTACCTGCGATCGCTTTATTTTTAAAATCGTTTTAGTTACGTTTTCTTACGCATCGTAACCCAAGGCCTCAAATTAGCGGCCCCATTAAATTCATGCATTTCTCAAGTTTAGTCATTACAGCGCAAATTCGCAAATTAAATCATTTACGAAATGTTTACGGTATGTATATAATACAAAATTGCGGCAGGGGTCTGTTTCACAATGTCCAAATAAAGTCCCGAATAAGCTACTTGCCACTTATCTGACGAATAAAGTCATCGTTGGCGTTTCACAATCTTCTGTTAAGCGTATCTGGCAATAAAGTTCGAACTAAATTATAGGTTAGATCTTCTGTCAGATAAGGAATTTATTTGATGGTTTGTTACTTGACAGATCATTTTCAAGAAGGAATTAGTATACGTATTTCGTATGTTGTGAAATAGAAACATATTAAAAATGTATTTATTTAATGCCTTGGACGACTTATTACATGATTTTTTTATCGTTTATCGGAGCCACGCAGAAATCCTGTGTTTCGACGACGTTCTAATCTCATAGAGACATTTGATGATGAGGAATTTAGAGTTCGATTTCGATTTTATAAAGATACTGTTTATTATCTCCATTCACTTATTGAGGACAAAATTTCTTCTAGTACAGAAAGGTAATGATGTGTTTTATTTTTTTTTATAAATAACTTATGTAGTGAAATGTCTATCTACTTAATATCCACGTTGTTTCTAATAGGTTCTTGAATAATCATTGTTTCAGGAATTATGCTATATCATCTATGGATTGAATTCTGTTGACACTGTGATATTATGCAACTGGAAGTTTTCTGAACTTTACTGAGTAAGGCAGCAGCTTGACGAATTCTGAATGTGGTGTCACAAACAATCGCACGATATTGAACTGTGTCCGTACAGTTTGTTAAGTTCCCAGAAGATGTTACCTAATTATAAGGAGACTTTTATGTATGTCTCCTTATATTTCAGTAATATAGATAGCTAGATTTCCAGGGCTTATTTGTGCCATTCATTGTACCCACGTCCCAATAAAATCTACAGGTGTAAAATGTGATGGTGGTGAAAATGTGATGATTCACCACCATCACATTTTTTGGTTTTTCACCACCATTTACATCAGAACAGAAAACGCCAATTCTCGTTCAGTTTTCAAACAATAGTTGGTTCACACTTGAAAATAATGGACATAGTGGCTAGATGGACTGAAGCCACACACGACCAAACAATATTTTAAAATCGTTTATAAAACAAAGATTTTTGAACAGAGAACTTGGCAATAGTGTATTTGTTGGTTGGTGTATTTGTAGGTTAAGAAAATACATTTTATCTATTGACTCCACTTCAAAATTCTGTTACGCCAGCAGAACATCTCTATAACGAATAAGAAGTAGGAATCTTCTTGAGCAGACTTACGCTGTTTGTAAAAATAGGTTTCCTATGTTAGCAAAAAAGATAATAATATACATTTGTCTCGTGTCCAGTCTGTAAATTAATCTAATTTTTTTTTGTATCATTGTAATTGTTTAAGAGAATGTATTTCAGGTATATAAATACGTAACACAAAATAATGCGAAAAAAAATGCATTATGATTGCTTTCAAGAGCGATTAAATTTAAAAAATGTTGTATGTTCTCACATTTCCCGTAAATCGTAACGCCAAAATGCGACGTTGCCATCTCTGTCTTACAAGTAACAAACTGACATATAAACTTAATGGTAAGACGTTTGTGAAACGCAAACTATTTTAACAGGAAGTTTTATGTGGCAGTTAATTTATTTGTCAGTTAGTTATCCAACACTTTATTCAGACATTGTGAAACAGACCCGAGTCGCACCTTTATATTTATTTAGTTAAAGCAAATTTTAAACGAAATTTTGTACATACAAGAAAGCATAGAAAAATAAGATAAAACACGAATGTATAATGTAATACAGGGGTTAAAAAAATGGGAAAAGCCCTTTAAGATGAGTCGAAGATCTCTGAAAGCCTCCAGAAGGTCGAAACATGAAATGGGATGACGATTGTACTTCAAAGTTTTAGTGGAAAATGATGATTGTGATGATGCTGACGAACGTAAGGTTCTTCAAGAGCCGATGTTAAACAAAAGAAAATAAAATCGTGAAGGAAATCATACGTAGAGATACTATTAAATGTTCCTATTTTCCTTATTCCTTCTAAAGTGTTTAAAACTGTAGCTCTGTAATAATATGAACCTGCAAACGGAGCAGAAGCCAGAATACCGGTCTCCGTGATGCCCAGCCGTAGATCGCACGTGGCAGCGGCTACGACCAGGCTGAAGCCGAACATGTCCAAAGCCACCGCATTGCTGATGATGCAGCAAGTGATAAGGAGCAGATAGTTATACCTTCCATGACCTGGAATCGGGAATAACGCTAGATTACAAGGTAATCTTTATAATCAAGACCCACCATCAACTGCACTCTTCACTGAATTGATTCCGCCTATTACAGTAATTTCTTTGAGCAAACTATAGTTATCGTGCAACAACCAAGACATTTTTTAGTAAATACTTTAGACATAATCGGGTAAACAGAGTCAGAACTGAGTTTAGAAATGACTTCTTTAAATTAACGTCATCCTGTGCTAGTTATGTGTCTTGTACAGTTAAATATCACCTAGATTATTAGTCATACTCCAAAAAATTCATCGGATTCAACCGGAATAATTGTTCTGTCTGAAAAAGTTAGTTTCAATCTTAAAACGGAGATCCGAACGCCTCCAATCAACTGAAACGAAAACGGACCCAGCTAAATAGGTTTTGTTTTTTATGCATCCGAATTTTAAAATATACAACATTCCTAATGGACGTCGTCTTGTCGACAGGTGACAAGGCCTTGAGATTCCCTCAAATGTTAATTTCTTCAACAGCCTTACCACCATGGCTATATTGGATATAATTTGAAATAATTGAAAATTTAACGACAAACTAACTTTTATAAAAAATATACTTTACGAACCAGTCAATTCCACTGCTTCATCGTAACTGTGAACATCCCTCTGTATAGCATCTTCCTCCTGCAAAACATTCGACATGGTGTATTAACGATTATGATATGATTATAAATCACACATCACATTCTTGATCACTGTCGCAACAAATCACACCAAGCTTTAAGTCAAAATCTAAACAAATCAATATGTTAGAATATAATTTTTGAAAATTGACACGTTGTCCGTTAACAGACGTACAGGTACAAAATCTAACAATCGTGTGGTGTATAAATCCGCATATCACTATCTCAGTTTGCGTTTCGTATCTCGACGTTCGTAAATCTAATGAAATAACTTTTAAAATAATGTAATATAAGGAAACGCCAAATTACGCGCAAATCTGTTTACAGGTTAGGTCCATAATTTATTCTGAATTTTATTTATCATTAAGACAAAAACTGTTTAATAGATAATGTGGGCCCCGGCTACCTGACTCACCAGACGAAACGCAAAAGTGTAACACCTACTTTACGCCGGTCTTCTGTGCGGTCGTGGTACTTACCCGGACGGACCTGCCCATTCATGCAACAGTGAAAACTACCCTACCACAGTTCATCTTCATTCGTATCATTTCATAATTTCATCGTGAGTTCAGTAACGATGAGCGAAATATGCGGTGATCACACATCATCCAAAGAGTTGTTCTTTCTTTCACCATTACATAAAAGTTTGAGTTTACAATAACTTTTAACAATAGTTATTAAAATAGATTTCAGAGCTACTGACATTGAAACAATCAGAAACAAAAGATCCATATTGAACCAATCAAACTGTAAAAGGGGCAATTATCAATATGCAATTACATTAATACGAGACAGTTTTATCCAACAAAACTAGTCAGTTATAATAACAAACTATGAAACTTCTATTAATATTGTACTATATAAATAGAAAAGGAACGTCGGAAAACACAGTCACAATTTAGCAAACAACCATTAGATAATGCTTAATCTTAAATAAACTAAACGTTATGTCAGAACGAAACTAAAAATTATTTGAATAACTAAGGTGCCAAGGTGACACACACATTTTAAAACTGCTGGTTAGCGAATTTTTTGCGTGATATTAATTTTTATTATTGTTATGCATTTAGGAACTTATGAAAATAATGGAACTTGAGGCTTAATGGACCATCTCTTCGTATGAATCACCGATGACCTTTACAAACACCAGCATTAGTTACTGTTGGGTTCATCACATACACACGACAGATATAAACTGAGGATGAATTAGAAAAAGTTTGTATCAGCCTATACATGTCCCACTGCTGGGCAAAGGCCTCATCTGTAAAGAGAGTATCAGGGCATAGTCCACCACGCGGCCCCACTGTGGATTGGCGGACTTCACATATCTTTGAATTTTTTTTATTATTTCGAAAATATGAAGGTTTCCTCACCAGGTTTTCCTTCACCGCTGAGGCACTTGATAATTCGGCACTTAAAATTAACAATTTCATTGGTGCCGACACCGGGGATCGAACTCAGGTTGCTCGAGTATATTGAATTAAAGGCGAGCGCCCGTACAATGAGCTATCATAGCTCAAATTAAATGGTCAACGTTTCAAGGTCTATTTTCATTACGTTCCGACTCTTTTTTTTTTCAGTGTGAAAATTTGCCGGTGGTATATTAGTGATACCTGTGATAACCGCCACCCATACACACACTTCTACTATACCTGAGGGATAAGATAAGTTGCCAACCTTTAAAAGAAGTGGATCTGGTTACCACATCCACTTCGTGAAACGCAAAAATATTAATTTTACTTTGCTTTCTTGTGCGAGCCTGCCCCGTTGGACAACAGCGGAAGCTGATGCGTGACTCTACCACATTTCATTGATAAGTAAGTTAATCGGCTGGCATAGAGGAATACTCATACAACATTGATATCGGACCTTCGTATTGTCGATGGAGTAAATAGAAAGTCATTGGGCGACTTCCGTACTTCGATGGAGATCATAGATTAATATTACTTACACAACATATTTTATAAAGCAGATTTCATTGCAAACTCATCTTCGAGAGCCATATGTGGGTTATGTCGGAATTGTAATCATAACATTCCTATAGACCCTAATCCACGGCTTTCTAACTAATCAAGCTTGCTTCGACTCAGATGCTCACAAGTACTATTCCAGTGGTGTCGCACACTTTCGAATAAGAGGCATAATTTTATCAATGGGAAGACGCCCTGGAACATGGAACATTCCTTGCCCCGATTCAACTCATTACTACTATTAAAGTGAATGTAATCACTACGTTTACTATGACTACTATGACATTAAGTGCTTCTTGAGTTTATCTCAAACAAACCACAGATATAAACAGGCGATGTTCTTAGAAAGGTTTCTTTATAGAAACCTTTTTAAGTGTTGCAAATGTGTACCAAGATAGATATTTTTAAGTGCTGTATCAAGATAGATATTATCTATCTTGATACAGCACTTTGAACCTAAGATTCTATCTCCATTAATTCTGATGGATCCTATTTGAATAATTGTAAAAAAGCTAAACATGTACACATGTGTAAATAAGTGTTCAGTAAATGAATTTGCATGTTCTATAAAGACAGTAGTTAAAAGTAAGTTTAATATTTTAATTGAGTTGTCCTATCTACTTCTATTCGCTTTATTGTAATCTATGCAACAGGTGTGGTCGGCTGTTGTCTCCAAGTAGGTCGACTAGGTCTATTAGGCTAGTGCGATAAAGGTCTAGGAAGTAAGGATATTTATTAATCTATGTTACTATGACAATTCTCATTATTAGAAGAAATCGTTAGTTATTGAGTAAAGCTCAGAGGTCAAGATATCTGTCATATAGTATGTTATTTTCCTGGAAGTCAGTCATGAACTGCAGCTGAGGCGACGGTTTGACAACCTTGAGGTAACGGGTTCTATTCCCAAAGGCGCGATCTAATGAATTTCCTTATTTTTGATTTTTACTTGTTTACACAGAAAAATAAGACGGCGTTTATGCTTGATTTTAAACTTCTGACGATAGCCTGAGTTAATTATGAGGACGTAACACATTTAAGTATATACTATTGTTAATCTATCCGTACAAATATAGACAATTGGCGTCTATATAAGTAAGGCATTCTGTAGATGAGGCACGACTTCAATTTTAGTCTTTGCGATTCCTATTTGAAGGATTCTATTATTGGTAGGCCTATTATTCTGCGTATCACTGTCGAAACCGTATTTTGAGAAATCGTATGTTTAAATGTTATTGACAGGTGCCAATGTCACGGAGTTTCAAATTGAAATCCGTCACGGCACCTGTCACTCAGAGTCATCGTTGGAACGAATTTGATTTGTATTTTTTCTTTTAGATCAGTTCAGTAGTAAAAGCAAGAGTATGATTTTGGAAGTCTTCAAATATTTATAGAGAGGAAGGATTTGACAACCGTCGGAATGTCATGAATTGTAGCGATAAAAACACTAAATTTATGTCAGACCTGTGGCACTTCGTCGCTCTACCCACAATGACAGGAAATACTTTCGAAGTCTCAATAATGATTACTGTACAACTATTGCGGAATATCTTGACGATGGAAATGTGTGGAATTAATACTGTTGATACTCACGTAGGCTTAAATAAGACTATACCTGTACTATGTTATATTTTAAACTGATATTTTTAAAAAAGACCAATTGAGTTTCTTACCGGCCTCTTCTCAACAGAAACTTTTTTCCGAACCGGTGGTAAGTTACTCACGATCTTATGTACTATAAATTTTTATTAAAAAATTGACGTTTCAAACGCGTAAGCCTCTATTTGAATAAAGATATTTGGAGTTTTGAGTTTGAATGAATATATATCAATTTTATTCGTGTCACCTCCCTGGTGTGTTCGTCATTTGCTCTCTGTGTTCTGAGTTTGATTACTACACGGTATTATAATTTATTACAGAGTAATACTTATTGTCAGCGTGGGTGTACCTTTCCATGAATGTGATGGTCGTGAAATGAGTGTGTCGTAACGCGTGATAATGTTTATTCCTTAGCATGAGAGCAAAATGAAAACACATACAAGAACGCATCTCTCATATATATATTTTTTTTTTCTTGTAAAACAGAGGTGATGTTTATTTATTTATTTAATGAACCCCAACATAATGTACACTAATTAAGACTTAAAAAAATAAATATATATCAACTGTTCGTTAGTGTCATTACAATTAAAGGCGCTAACAGCATGTTTACCACCGACATAACTTTCAATCTGGGTAATTTCTCATGCGATTTTTCCACACCAAGATAGAAATTCCTCCGTATCATCAAAGTCACCTATCTGCTTCATGATTGCTCCTGAGAAACGTGTTGAACTCCATTAAGAAGGCCACTCGACTGTCCAATCTTCTCGTCTACACATCCCATTTATCTACTATCGTAGTAAATGAATTAAGCACAGTGTCAGAAGTTCCCAATTAACAAGTAAATAATGGACGCATTGATTATGTTACTAATACCAATTGACAAAGAGTTTAGCTCATCACATACACAGTTTCAAATTACGTGCAAATTATAGGTCTTTATTGTCAGATAATTATTGCAGTTTGTAATATATTGCTTTAAAACTAATCCAAATCATTAAGTCTTTGACTACAGAATTTTAAAAGTCCACGACTCACCAGGTGTGTGGAAAATAGCGGCTTGAATAAATTTGCGTTTCAGAAGAGAGGGGCTATCAATGTATTACCGTTTTCGGGGTGATATACTAATGATGAGGGTATTAAAATTATCTCATTATTTAAAGACAATCCTTGGGAGTATAAATAAAAAAAATCATTCAATTGTCACCAAGAGCCGTGATAGCTCAGTGTCCGGGCGCTCGCCTTTAATTCAATATACTCGAGCAACCTGAGTTCGATCCCCGGTGCCGGCACCAATGAAGTTTTTAACTTTAAGTGCTGACTTATCACGTGCTCCGCAGTGAAGGAAAACATCGTGAGGAAACCTGCATATTTTCGAAATAATAACAAAAAAAATATATTTCGAAAATATGTGAAGTCCGCCAATCCGCAGTGGGGCCGCGTGGTGGAC